GCCCACCCCTATCTTCAAGTACTCCATGTTAACCTCAATCTTTGTACGTACACATGGATAACGAATACTATGGCGCATTTATTGTTCTTAAAAGGGCAATCATCTTACAATCTATGTTGATAGGATTTGACATATCTCTTATTACAAAGGTTACATCAATCATTCGAAAAAGATTTTATCTACAGCAGATCTTTGAAGGAGGTGGGTCACTCCATTTCAAGTGTGAGCTTTGAATTGAGCCTCCAAACCACAACCGCTTCGGTGGTTCTTCATTTCTCGCTCCGCTTTGATGATGAGCTTCGAAAAATTTTGTCGTAAGATTTATTTTGTCTTTGACTTTGGTCAAACTATTGGTGACAATGGTTGTGGGTAATGAGGCTTATTCCTTGAGTAGGTTCCACGTGAGATGCTACGTGAGTTATATCTGGAGCCTCATAACAATAGATGTATGAAATAAAATGGAATGGAATTTGTAATGAAAGCTTCTTAAAAAGAGTGAAATTTTGTATGAATGACTCTCCTCTAATCTGTGGACATGTGTGCATATATATGTATCAGAATTAGGTCAAAATAAGTGCCCCAATTGGTTTCGAGTTAAGTGGCCAATGAAATTGGCTGCTCCATCTGTGGTCCTTGCGACCACAAGCATAAATAATTTTTAATTTGCATTTTGGTCCCTGATTTCTCTCTTTCAGCCAACTTGAGTTATTTTTTCTTTGCACCTTTAGTTATCCATCTTTAAATTTTTTATAATTCAATCCTCAATCATCCATAGTCGATATGATGAAAGTTTATAATTTAAAGATGCTTGTTTGTGAGGGATTAAAATCAGATTAAAATTGAAAATATAGCCGTTATTGTTGACTTTTATTAGACGGGTGGGACCCAATAACGGCCATATTTTCAATTTTAATTGGATTTTAAGCCCTCCCGAACAGGGCCTTAAGAACTAACTTGCTAATGTAAAACAATATTGAGTCAACACATTAAGGATCAATGATGCAATTTTCATCGATAATCAGACAGCCCACGTTTTGTCTCTTTCTAAAAAGTTCCTTGAACAGCCTACACGTGTGCCCCTCTTGTTTTAATTCTATCGCCAGAAATCACTCTTAAGTAACTTTTACTTATATTCAAGCATAACCAAACATGCCCTTCTCTCTATGATCACCTCGTGTGCTAATGTGCTATTGCACGTATGTTTGTGTGTATATATATATACATTCCTCCTTCCTATCAAACATATCTACATGCTAACATTCTCCTTGTCTTGCCTCTCGAAAATTGCAATGGCCATCAATACAGCTCCGCCAGCGCCGGAGTTGTTAGATTTGGACAACCTACGAGCCATCAAAGTACTAGGCAAAGGTGCTATGGGCACAGTATTCCTCGTCCATCACAAGTCAAACGACCCCTTTGCCCACCGCCCCTTCGCCCTCAAGGTGGTGGAGAAATCCTCCCTCCGTCATGCCGACCGCCGCGCTCGCCACGAAATCTCCGTCCTCAGCCGCTTTCACAACCACCCTTTTCTGCCATACCTCATTGGATCTTTTGAAAATCATGAAATCATTTGCTGGGCTATCCCGTTTTGCCCCGGCGGAGACCTCAACGTGCTCCGGCACCGCCAAAACGACCGCGTTTTCTCTTCTGCTGTCATCCGTTTTTATTTAGCGGAAATCATTTGTGCTTTGGAGCACCTCCATGGACAAGGCATTGTTTACCGGGATTTGAAGCCGGAAAACATCCTCGTACAACAATCCGGCCACGTCACATTAACGGATTTCGACCTGTCGAGAAACCTTGTCCAAAGAAAACCAGATAATCTGCAATTTTACTCCGATCCGGAGGAACATTCACCAGCAAATTTAAAGTACACTCATCTCGCCGGAAAATTCACGCGCTTCATTATTTTGAAAAGAGGAAAGCATGCATTCAACAAGAAGACAGGGTTGAAGAAAGTGAAAAGTGCCCGCGTGTCGCCAGTTAGCCGGAGAAACCCAGATGATTTTTCGTCGAATGAGCGGTCGAATTCCTTTGTTGGCACAGAGGAGTACGTCGCACCGGAGATTATACGTGGCGACGGCCATGAATTTGCCGTCGATTGGTGGGCTCTTGGTGTGCTTTGCTATGAAATGCTATATGGAACGACTCCATTTAAGGGTAAGAACAGAAAAGAAACATTTCAGAAAATACTATTAAGCCGGCCGGAATTCTTCGGCAAGCCAAATCCATTAACGGACTTGATTCGAAAGTTGTTGGAAAAGGACCCCACGCGCCGCCTCGGGTATCGGAGAGGCGCCTGCGAGATTAAGGAACACGAGTTCTTTCACGGCTTGAGGTGGGATTTACTAAAGGAAGTTGTGCGGCCTCCGTTTCTACCATTAAAAGATGAGATTGGAGTGACAGACGATTTAGTTAAACGCGAAATTGATGTTATGGAGTACTTTCACAAGTTGAAGAATCCGTCATCACCCTTATGGTCATCGTCACCTGATGAGTGTCAACAGTTATCGGAATTCTAATTTTTATTTTATTTTATTTTTAAAGAGATGCGTGTACATAATAATAAGGGGTTCCTCGTAAAAAACGGCTATGATTAAGATTAATGTTAGTGTTTATAGGTGCAAATTATGATTAAACGTTTTGTAATTTAGTTAACTATAATGGCATTTGTATACGCCCTTGAGGTGGCGCGTGGTATACAATTGACATAGGTATATGAATAATAAAGCTGCTTGAAATGTAGGCTTAGAATTTCTTTCTTTTTATTTAGATTCAATGTTTGAAAAAGTAACTTAAATTTGATTTACTTTTAAGCATGTAGAATAATTAGCAAGAAATCGTCTCTCTTTAATCTAATTTTTAATAATTAATTTTAATGACACATTTTATTGTATCAACAATCTTTCAACCACATATATCAAAATTTACTAAAATCTTCATCGAACAGGACATTAGTAAGACAAACTATACGATTTTTGGTAAGAGTAAAAACAAACGTGTAATAAATAGAAAACCACTTTTTAAATTGATCGACACATCTTCCTTGAGTCGAAAGAGTGCTTTCAAATCCATCGATTCCCGATTTATAATCCAAAAAATGCCATTCAAATTCATTATATCTTTTTATTTTTTGGAGAGAAGGGTAGATGAATTAGCAAGTTGGTTTAAGTTATTACTACTCAATTAAAAGTAATGCAATGGGTTTGCCCGATAATTCTTTTTTTTTTTTCAACTTTGTTCAATCTACGGAGGTGCAAAAGAAATAGTAGTTTGATGTTTCGAAATAAAATGTAAATATATCTGAACTTCCAAAAAATTAACACCTTAATCTTTATTTCCATACTTATTTGGAAAGTTTACTTATTTTAGAATGTGATTCGCATTATATTGTCGAAGTGAGTAACTTTGACTTGAGTAATAAAAAAATATATTAATTTTCGATTTACTTTTTTTACAAATTGAACTTTTTTAAGCATAGAGAAATATTCTCCTAGTGAACATATACTCAAAGATTATTCTCTTTTAATATAGTTCTAAACTATAATTTGGTCAAGTCTTATAGCATAGAAATCATATACCCCAAGTCTTGAAATTGACCAAAAAGTGATGGGTAAAAACGTGCAATTCTTTTACTTTTTGGAGGAAGCATCGAGTGATATTGTTTTCTCTAGGTAGTATACATTTTTTTTTTTTTTGATAACCATAGATGTCCGGGCCAGCTTGCGCGCACTTCGACTAATTTCACGAGACCCTGAAATTTACGGTCGGGTACTCACCTCAGTGGCCCTGAGGGGACTCGAACTGGTGAACATTGGGGAGCAAATCCAAGACCTGATCAATTGAGCAACCCCTGAGGGTTAGTATACTAAATCCTACAAACACTATTTAGTATATAATGTTGGACGTAATTATAAAATTATACAAGAAAACAAATAAATATCTTACATGTCTTGTTATCTTAATTAATATGGCTTGATTCGAATATGGGTTCTCGTTTTCTTTAAAAGCAAGAACTAACTAGAGCTTCACTATTCGCTGATGAATAAATATATTGAACGTTGAAGTTCTTTTTTTTAAAAAAAAAAAATCTTTCCATCCAAATCAATATTTATATTTAATCAACCAGTTTGTTAATTGTTGGTCAAAAATGAACAGATTTTATGTGTTTAGAACCATCGAAATCCCGATTTCAACAATTTCTCAGTATTGGTTGAACAAACAAAAATGTTGATTGATTATTCTTAGTACTTTGCTAAAATCCAACCGGTCTTAATTTTGGCTGTCATATTTTCTTGGGTTAAATGAACTACGAGTCACCCAACATTTAGAGCATTATTCAAGTCACTCATATTCGGTTTGGTACAATCAGGTAATCTAACTTCGATTTCTTGCAAAATTGGTTACAACATCATCAGTTCAAATAACATACAGTTAAACCTCGATAAAGTAATAACCTCGATTATATAATAATTTCTTTCGATCTCGACTTGGGCCAATGGATTAAAGTAATAACCTCGCTAAATGCATTAAGTAATTAAAAAAAAATTGAATCCTTAAGGGCCCAATAAAAATATAAAGTAATAATTACTGGATTTCATTGAGAATATATATATATATATAGACCAAAATCTTTCAATCAATCAACAATACAAGTACAATAATCATTCCTTTTGAAAATATGCATCTATAGTTGATTGTTTTTTCTTCCCATCTAACCCAAAATGAACCCCATCCTTAACTTTTTGTAGAGCATACACAACTTCCGGAATATTTTGCTCGTGTTGTAGCAAGTAGTTGTTTAAGGTGACTATTGCTTGAAATGCCTCTTTTGAAGACACAATTGGGACAACGCTACTATCATCTGGTTCAGGATAATTCTCATCATCATTACTGTTCATTACCGATTGAATAATTTCTTCGTCTTTAGGTGATTCCATAACTGCATCATTATCGCTAAGATAGTTCAAAAGATGTTCAACATCCATCACATTTCTATAGTGTAAATTAGAGATGACATCATTTAATCCTTGGATACCTTCATCTAATTCACCAACTTCTGGTTCGGGAACATTGTTTTCTTC